ATATATAAATATTTTAAATTTATAATTAATTTATTATAAAATAATGAATTTTTTTAATTTTTAAAGTTCACTAAAAATCAAATTAGCTAAAATTCAATGAAAAAGAAAAAAGAAATATGATACAACAATAATTAAATTAGTTCACAAAAAAAATGATTTGGAAAATTCAATTAATTAATTTAGAGAATTAAATACAGAATACTTACGGCATATACGCGAGAGCACCTTATAGACGCTTTGAAATGATTTTGTATTATTTTTCCCTTTTAAACGCATCACTACCACCACATTTTCACGTGATTTATTATTACTTGATACCGCTTTTTATTTGGTTCATCCCTTTCTCGATTCTACCAATTAGTCACTAATTCAGTATAAGAAATCTGACATATGTCAAATAACCTATTTAGTATATGAAAGTAGCTACAAAAGAATTACTAATATGTATGTATATTCATCTACATACACAAAACAATATATGAACATCAACAAACACAATACAAATTATTAATATCCGCTAAACATAAAATTATATTTTATTTATAATTGAAAAAAAACACTGAGATTTTTTTCTTTATTTCTATATATCAAAATTAAAATTTCTTATTCACTCATTTTATTCGTTCGATTTTAGTAATTCAATTATGAGTTCATTGCCTTACAGTTATGCCAACAATACAATTGAATAATGTTATTTTATGAAAGTAATCAAAATAAATATATAACACTTTTCATTTTATTCAATCTTTTTTCATAAAAATTATTTCTATATATGTATATATATGTATATATATATATTATATAGCTAATAAATAAATATTTTAATTTTTCAAATCAGATTTAATTGAATATTTGTAGTGGTACGAATGATGTTTTACTTTTAGCCCCATTCATTATGAACAGGAAATATAAATCATCTTATTCTCATCAAAATTAAGTTTTATATATCGTTACTTTAAAATACCATTCTTTCGAATTAAAAAAAAATTAATTTTTGCTTCTATTTTTTACATATTATATAAAAAAATTGTTTTTCTTTTATTATTGTTTTAAAATGTCAAATATTTCAAGAAAAAGGAAAACTCCATCAAAATTAAAGGTGATTCGTTACTATATTTTTTAACACATTTAAAAATGTTTTAGATTTCTATTTTTTTACAGACCATGGGTAATCATGATGACTTTTTAAATCGTATATCTAAATCGCTTTATTATGCAAAACTTCCAGTGACTGATTGTCTCAGTTTGCCTGTTACTGGTTAGTATTACTAATATTTTTTAATTTTTATATATATATATATGTATATATATATATTCTTTATTGATTAAATTATATTAAATAAAGAGAGAGTTATAAATATTTTATAATTTTATGTTTTAATTATATTAATATGTTTTATAAATATTATTTAAGTTAAAAATAATTTATATTTTTCTATAACCTATATGTTATTATTTCTTATTTATTTGTTACTTATATATTTGATAAATTTATTTATTATAATAATCCAGAAGAATATTTAATATTTTAATAATGTTATATAAATAAACCAAATTTTTTATTAAATATATGATTATATAATAAAAATGTATTCTTAGAATTGGCAGCAGAATTATTCACTGAAGTGAAGAGTGGTTATACACTTGAAAGATTAGATGTAGAAGAGGCTAGCAGAATTTCTAGAAATGCATGTGTATCACCATGTTCTCTTGTTTTGGCATTGTTATATTTGGAGAGATTAAAAGATTGTAATCCAGAATATCTTCAACAAGTGGCACCTTCTGAACTCTTTCTGGTTTCTTTGGTATTATCTCAATTATTATATAAAATTAATTTTCAAGAAATATTATTTAAAATATATATTATGATATTTTCTATTTTGCAGATGGTGGCTAGTAAATTTTTAAATGATGAAGGAGAAGATGATGAAGTTTTCAATACTGAGTGGGCACAATCAGCTGATTTGACTATATTGCAAATAAATCGGTTAGAAAAAGATTTTCTTAAAGCTATTGTAAGTAAATTAATATTAATTTATATTATTTTATATATATTTTATAAATTTTATGATCAATTATGGTTTTAAAATTTATGGTTTATTTATTAATTTTATTAATTAGGATTGGACTGTTTTTGTTCATAATCAAGATTTTTGGGAAAGATTGCAGAAATTAGAAAGAGATATAGCTTATAAGGAAGCACAAAAAAGAGGCTGGTTTTCATATACAGAATTAAGTTGTTTAATGAATTCAATGCAATTAATTGCAGTAGCACATGCTGTAGTAAATGTATCATCCATTTGCTTGGCAACATATACTGCAGGAGTAGTTACTCTTTTAGGTTCTGCTTTAGTTGCAAGCTATCTTCCAGGAACAGTACTTAACAATCCAAGACAAGCAATTAATTCTACAGATATTATGAAAGCAGATTTTAATTCAGAGATGGATATAACAGCACCTATTGAAATTTTATCAGAAAATGTTTTAACAACAGATTTTATATCTACTTCTCTCTTATTAAATTGCAATCAGTCTCAACAGAATTGTGAACACATTAAAATCCACAAGATTACTAATGTAAATTGGAGATGGTTAAGTTCCATAATGATCTGGTTACCACAACATTCAGATGTAGAATCAAAAAAATCATTGCAAACAACAATCGATAAAACCAAACATGTAGACACATCAATAACTAAATTTCTATTCGATGTTACTATATCAGATGAACCTTTAATAAAATTCTGGAAACAAATCTTGAGCATAGATTTGAAAATATTTTTGCATGACTGGCGATATTATGCAAATTATATTACAAAATTTACATTTGATCATCAGCATTGAATATTATATATTAATATATTAAACATTTATCAAAAAATATTATTTTTATTAAAAAAGTTTTCAAAAAAGAAAAATATATATTTTTTCTACTAACTTGTAATTCATAAAAACTTCTATACTAACAAAATCATTTTTTCAATAAAGAATATGAAATATCTATGGAAGTATTAATTTTTTTATACTATAATAACCTTAAAATATAAATTTTACAAATATTCTTAGACAACAATAATAATAATTATTGATAATAATAATGTTAGGATATAAGACATAAAATGGTTTATTTTTTTACTTTTGCTACTTGTACAGCTTTGATAATACATTACAATTATATATATATATATATATATATATATATATATATTCATCAATCTACAGAGATTATATATTATATATTACACAAACATTATGATTGTCATTAAATTAATATTACGAATAATTACGAAATTTCAAATTAAGGATTTTAATTTAAAAAATTATCTAAATAGATAATTTTTTTTTATTATTACAATTTAACATATACAATTTCAATCATTGTTATGAAAATAGGAAAAAATTGGAATAGGTGTCATTCCAATAATACAACCAATTGTAACTCCAATAACTCGTCCCTAAATTAAAAATTTTTTCTAAATTTCTTTATTCGATGTAAATCATTAAAAAGTAAAATAGATATACCATATTAGCAGCTGTTTTTGTTCTACGAAGATTTAATTGCATAGGTGTAAGTTTTGGTGCTTTAAAACCAACACTTTGGGCAAAACGTTCTACGTAATGTACAGATCCAATTCCTATTATATCAGATATTGTATTTCCTAAAGCGGCAGCCGTCATAGTTGAAATTGGAAATTTTTTACTTAATATTATCTCAATTTGATCTCCCTGAAATGATGATATTATTAATTTTAATATAAATGGTATATATTCATTATACGTACAGCAACTACCATGATGAAATTGTCAAGAAAACCGAAACCAATGAACGGAATTGCATTTGAAATCGCAACTGCAAAAATATACGTTTTTATATATTTATATACATGTATATAATTAATATTATATATTTTATATAATTTTATAATATTAATTAAATATTCTTTGTAATAAAATCATATATATTATAATTTTCTATTATATATATTATTTTACTATGCATACATTTTTAAAAAATATTTTATTAAATATTAAAATATTTAAAAATTCATACCTAAAATTAGATCTTTTGTAGATGGTTCTGGAACAGTTTCAACTGTAATAGGAAAGAAAAAAATTTGAAGATATGTCCTTTTATAACATAGAATAATAATAATTAATTAATAAGTATCTGTAAAAATTGAATTTTTTTTTAATATTTATAACATAGAATTATAAAAATTCATGCATTTATTTTTTTACACACACACACATATATATATATATACCATTTATAATATACGATTTTAAATAATAATTTCATAAATTATTTATTCAAATATTAAATAACTAAGTATACAATATAAACAAAATACTTGATGATATTAATTATTTAATAAGAAATAAAAATCTATAGGAAAATTAGTTAATTAATTAAATACACAAAATTTTGAAAAACAAAATTTTATTCAAATAAAATACATTTTTTTTAATTTTATATTTAAAAAATACTTACATTAAATTTGTTAAACAATATAATATATAAATATATTAAATATATCAATATTAATTAATATATTAATAAATATAAGTAGATAGATATATTAGATATATACTAATATTTTATAAAACATATTTTACATTGAGAAAAGAGTATTTATAGAGCCATGCAAAAACAAAAAATATATAAAAATTGAGGATAAGAAGGTAATAAAAAAACAAAATGTAATGTAAAGTTATCTTAATAATTTTGTTTATATAATGAAAATTTCTAAAGTTATTTACCTAAATGTTCAATTTATTTTTATATGGGTATCTTGCTGCATTCTTTATGTTCATTGTTGAATTAATAGGTGAAACTCATTATAAAGTTCTTGTAAAAAATATGCATTTTTCAAAGTGTTCAATATCTTAAATCATAAATGTACTTAAATTATTTTATGAAATTATAAGAATTATTATTTAATAAAATAACATATATATATATTTATTAAAAACATATTGTATTGTATATTTATTAAAAACATATTGTATGAAATATAAAATGAAATATAAAAAACATTCTTGCAAAGAAATGTTTTTTTATTAAATTTACAAATATTTATCATTATATATTATGTTCTTATATTGAATAAATTTATAGTTTCTATAATTGAAAAAATATATAATATAAAAACATAATTTAAATAATTTTAATTATATTATTGTGTATATTGTGTTAAAAATAGAATGTATATGTAATGTAATATATTACCTAAGTGTGATTCTGTAGTTGTCTTTTTAAAACATCCAGAAAGTTCAGTCAGAATAGAGGAAGTAAGTAAAATAATTAAAACACATAATTGTATGAAATATATAGTTTTAATTTAATAAAATGGACTTACAGATTGATATCCACATGGAGTGCGCAATGGAAGAAAATTTTTTATACTGTTAAAGAATATTGAAAATTATACTGAATCACAATATGATAATAATAAATATTTTCACTTTTAAAATTCAAACTACTAAAAATAATATAAAATTTACATATTTTAGTAATATTAAAATTAATTTACCTTTTTAAGTTGAAAGTTAATTTAATAATATAAAAAATATTATATTTTGCTTTATTATTATGAATTGTTATTTACTAATCATTAGAGAAATTAGAAAAATTAAAATGTTTTTAAATTCCTACCATACTTGCGCATAAGCCAATCTTCAGGTACAGGACAATATGTGCCTGTAGGATCCACATTTCCTAATGATGGTATTTTACTAGGCCTTCCAAGTTTATTGCACCATCGAAAAGCAGCTAATTGACCTCAAATGAATAAAAAAATTATATATAGATAAAAGTTGTATATAATAAGTGTATATATAATAGGTTTTTAAAATTGATATTTATGATAATTTTTATGAAAAATAATTACGTTGATATCCAGCTCTATCTTCTTCTGATTTACATTCTTCAAGAGTTTTTAAAAAAAGCTCTCGTTCTTCTGAATTAAATTTTGAAACTATTTTTTTTATTTTGTCCTTTGTTAAAGAGTCAGGAAAATTTATTTTGTTTTCTGTACTATAGCATGTCCTTGGTATAACCCATGTATTAACGATAAACGAGAATACAGAATGTTTTTCTAACAGAAAATTATTTATGCAATATAATTTTTGACGACAATAATAAAATCGCGACATACTTCTGGTAAAATACATAATTTCTCGCGGAATAAATAATATTTGATTAGTTAAAGCCGCAATCATTAAACACATTCTTATGAAGATTTCTTTTCGTTAATAATACTTTAAATAAAATTTATATGATTATGAAAACATATACAATATTAATATAACATATACATCTAAAATCAATAATTTGAATTGTTCAATAATAATAAAATTTTATAATACTGTTAAATATTTAAATACGTAATACATATCGTGATTTAAATAAACTAGCACTAGCAATGACTCAATTCTATACTAATGTCAAACCATAAAATATATATGTAATATATAAATTAGTATTTAAAAATTAAAGAATTAGAAAATTATTAAAAATTAAAAAAAATTACATTACTAAATAATATATAGACTTAATTAATTATAATAATTTATTTTTCAAATATTTGAGTTTTTAATTTACAAATTAATAAATAATAATATAAATATATGTAACATAAACATAAATTATTATGTTATAAAAAAAATTTGCAATAATTTTATTATAGATTATATATAAGTACATATTTAAATAATGTATTAAAAAATATATATATATATAATAATATTAAATAATGTATATGTAATGTATTATATTTATCACAATATAATTATGTTAAATGTTTCGAAAAATTATTATAATTATAAAATTAAAATTTATAACTATATATGTATTATAATTTATAATTTGAGAAAAATTTATATAAATTTGATAGGAAGGAAAATGTTTAAAAAATTGTTAAATGTTTAATTTGAGAAAGTTATATAAAATTGAAAAAGAAAAATATTTAAAAGTATGTATTTCTTTTATTTATAAATTACAGTATTTTTAATTATTATTTCTTAATTTAATATAATTATGCATCATCTTTCTAATCGTACTGTTTTTATACATGGTCTTCCATATCTACGTTTAGCTTCATCAATAAAAGCATTTTCCATTTGTCTCACGATTTCATTAAAAAACAAATTTGATAAATGTGAGTAAATAATCGACTTAAATTCAAATGATAAAGAAAAATCAATAACACAGGTTTGAACATTATTTTTTAATCCTGGACTGAAAAGCCATAATGTATTTAAGTGATTAAATAATCTACCATCTGAACATTCAGCTTTTACTAAATGTGGACGCATTGTCGTTACTATTGATGTATAACTTTCATTTATAGGTGGGAAACCTATTACCAGATTAGCTTTGAGCATATCGTCACTTTTGAATATAACATCGGATTTTTTACAAAATGGGACAAACTCTTTATAATTTTGTACATCAGCTACAACACTATATATTTGATCCATTGAAAATCTGCATTATAAACAATTTTTTTTAATATTTTCTATTCATTCATAAGAAATCATTCAATTTCAGACTCACCCTATTAATTTACGACCTTCATATTCTTTTGTTTTCATAATATCAGCCATATACATTCGTTCTATATATTGTTTATTAAAATTGCACTTATTTTGAAATATTGCGCTTTCAAATAATAAAATACGTCTGAAAATAGTATTACTTTTTTGATTTAAAATTCAATTATAAAAATCATTGAAATTCTTTGAATATATAAATAATTCCATGGTGTTAATTGAAATATTCGTAGTATATTCATTAATTATATATATAAATTATATATATAAATTGTATGCTTCATTTATATTATTATATTTATATCATTAATTATACTTATTATTATTAATGAAATTTTAAAATTATGATAAAAAATATATGATCAAATGATATATAATGATTTTTTTCAATTTTTATAAAA